AAATTGCAGGCTCTACAAATGTCTTTATGCATTACTGGAAAAAGGCAAATTACTACTGTAGAAAAGAAAACCAGAATCAATTGATATTGTAATAAAATAGTGAATTTGATACTTAAAAAAATGAGTTTTGCGTTCACTTTGATATGAATGTTTCTTTTTTATATTGTGCAGTTTAGGGTCCGAAAATGAACACCAGCCAAGCACTAAATGCGGGTAGATTTTGCATTTGGCGAGTCAATCTTGGAAGGCGATCAACACACAAATGCTTGTACCAAAACAGTCAAGTAATAAAAAGCTATGCTGAGTGTGTCTACTGCATTTTGGTGTCATTTCAGGGCACACTGCTCTGCTGTTCCTGTGCTGTCTGCGTCAGTGACGGACATAAAACACACATGCGCACACACCTTAACGGTGACACAAAACTGATCATCTTGAGCGCTTTGCGGTACTGTTTGCTGTACAGAACATCTCTCAATCAGCTAAATTATCACTTGGTACCGATCTGCTGCTAGTAAGCATTGCACCCAAACTTAACACAGTACTAAAATAACACAGACCTATAATCTGAAACAAGATATCAAACTCCTTAATTACAATTACTAGTATTTGTGTGCTGCACTACCTAACCACCCGGAAAACTAAACAGTGCTGATCAAATAGAAACCAAGATTCTGTTAGCATTGCCTATTTCTCTTCCAAAATGTTTTCAGAATCTTACTGTTTAAATGTAATTCAAAATCATTTGTTAACCAGCAGGCTGCCATAGTGTTTCTTGTGGGAAAATGGCCAAGCTCTCATTACATCATCCACCAGTGGGAAGGTTTATTGGCCCAGTGCGGTGCAGTACATTCTGGTAGTTGTGGGTTTTCTACTTCTTAGGCAAAAGTGAATGCCACAGCCCTTTCTCTCTGTTTTATCTAGTCATATGACTCGCTGCAGTCTCTCTCTCTATTTCCAGTCCTATAACATTATCCTCACCTCTGGCAGTTGCCATGTGTGCCAGCTGAGCTGCCTGTTCCACCAGTAGAGACTGACCTCTAGTGGCACATAATGTGTACTAAATACAATACATCCTCAATACAGCCTCTCTACATAAGTTTAATAGATAGATACGCATCTGTACTTTTGATGGTATTGAAAATCACTGTAATACCCTGATACCACCTGAGCCTACTTTTAACCAAGTCTCACTGTCTTCATTAGCGTATGGAGCTGATGAAATGAGGCTGAAAGCTTCAGAAAAAGATAGTAAGTGGATGCTGGAAATTATTTTTGTTAATTTTACCTTATTTTTTCACTTTTACATAAGTGGGGGAAAGAATAGTGAATTTGTTAATTGTCTATAAGCTTGATGAAAGAACAAACCTGATTTAATTACACATCCTCCTGTGAATGGACTACAGGACTGCCTGCAGTTTGTGGCTCTGTGGCTTAAATGTAAAAACCATCATAAAGTGCAGCACAAATGAAAGAAGTAGTTTTAAGCGCGACTGCAGCCAGACTACAAAGGGTCAGCCCAGCACTAATAACCATCAAGTCCCTGAGGAACTGAGGCAGGATATAAGCAATGGACTGACCTGACCTGAAAGGGCTGAAGCCCACTGTGTACTGAGAGCTCTGTCGGCAGCTCAGTGCTCTGCCAGAGGTCAAAATGAAAAGACAGACTGAGGGAACATGGGATTACCTGAGCATCATGTGCAAAATAAAACAGGTTTCAGCTGTGCCATACCACTGACACCTACAGAGCGCAACACCATAACAGTATCAGAATATACTCCACCAAAGACAACTTTGATCGAATTTGCAGAATATTTATTACAACTGTATAATGACATGAGAAAAACTAAACAAAGTGGAAGGACTAGTTTTTTCATTGTTGAGTATTAAAACAAAATGATGATTGGACGATATCTTTGACACACCTCCTGGACTCATTAAACAAACACTGCTGGGACTTCAGTGTGATTTAACAATAAAACATGCACAACCTCAGCTTCAATCAAAGACACTGTAGCTCCATCTGCTGTTTCATTTGGCAAAAATCCACTATCTCTAACACACACACACTTTGAAATTTGCCAGTCTGTATGTGGTTGTCCATTCAGTGTTGGTGGTAAATGTAGTCCATTAAAGCAATAAAATTTTCAGTGCGTGCTGTATTGATTGAAATGGATTTCAGCATCTGTCCTGCTACTACCACTGCCATTTGAGCAACAGTGACATAGGTGGAAGGGGGAAGAACTACAGGCTGGATTTAACTGAATCATTCTGCTACAATACATTTCAGCATGGGCAGTTTTTGTTAGCTGCTGTTGCTAACGCTGGGAAAGCCTGTTTGTGTGCTCCTATGCATGACAGTTTTCCATTTCACTTGGACATAGTTTAACTGGATCTTCTTCAGAACCCATTAACTGGAAGATGTTCAAGAGGGCAGATGACCATTGAATAAGTATTTTTATCACATGACACAGCGGTGTCCGAACTTTATTGAATAGGGGCTAGTTTAGATAATACTACAATAGCTGGAGGCCAGTGGCTTCTCACATCCTATGAGTTATTAAAAAATTCCATACAAATCAGACATATTAAACTGTTTCCTTTTTTTAGTGAAAAAGTATTCAACTGTTCACCGGTCCTAAAAGCAGTGGCCCTTACTGTCGACTTTACGCTTCTTTGCTGTGGTCATGTCTGCTACCTAGCCGGAAACGTCTGCTGTTAGCTAACCATTCTTTTGCTTGTTTAGTTCCGTCTGCGTAGTTAGACATGCATCTACTTAGTGCATGTCTACAAACTGTATGAAAGTCCTGCCATCCTGAGGTGAATGGAAAAAAATGTCAATCGATTTTGCTTGATTAACCAATATTGTGTGGTGGGCCACGATATTTTGAAAGACAAGCTACAGGCCTTTTGAATTTCAGTCTGTGGGCCATGATTGGCCCCTGGGCTGGACTTCGGACATGCCTGACCCAGCGCTATTGTAAGCTATTTTGTTGCCTCTTAGCAAAACACTCTAAGCAATTAAAGTTGGGCTTTTATTGTGAAAGGTAAAAAATGTAAGGAGCAGAGCGGTGTTGTGCTGCCATTGACAGTTTTAAAAACATTAATAAAGGGTTGTTGCCATCTTGAATCGCGCAGGTTTACACAACAGAGCCTCTGTGTTTTTATTTTGTGGCTTACAGAAGCATGGAGCAACTCCCAAACCTCACCTACGCATGTTTTGTCCAACAAAGTAACAGCTACAGGTTAGTAGGCTAATAGCAATGGTTGTTAGAGGCTCCCATGCAATGCATCCTTGTACATGTAGGCATTGCCAGTGTGTTTCCATGAGCAGGAGGATTCAGCTTTCTCAGTTAAAACAGCATGCACTGAGGAAATTATTGGTTCAATCCTCTACATTTCCCATTAACATTGACTGCACATTCACATATAATGTGGCGAATTTTCCCTTTAAAATCACATAAGAACATAGACACAGACAGCTTCCCCTATAATTCAGACCTAGACAGAGACTACACTGCTGTAACTGTAGCCTGTAGTTATCATCACTGAGATCAAAGACCAGAGTTATCCAAATCCACTATCGCAGCATCAAAGGCCAGCTGCTGGCAGCGCTTCACATCATGAGCAGAAACCCACATACAACAAGAACAATCAAGACAGTTTCAGCAACAGATGAATATCAATGGGTCAAATCATTTAATGGGATGAGGACACTTGTGAACAAGCAAAACCAGACGCAATGACATGATGCTCAGCAACAAACATAGGTTTGTGCATAATGCTGCCATGTAAATTAACAGGACTGCTGACTGCTGAATGAGGAATTTTAACAGCCATCTTCGACAGATACGTTGTTCCACACCCTGGTCTCTGATAATCAGAGAGGTTTTAGGTAAGAGATTGATAGATAAGTTAATAAGTAGGTGATTTTCAAAGTTACCATTGGCATGTTTTGTTTCTCACAACCACATTTCACATAAACCATTTTTCCACCATGACTTGTACTTCATCAGCAGAGTGAGTTTGAGTTTGCTCCAACCAATCACTGCGTGAAGTGGGTGTGGCTGTTGGATTGCTGGTTTGTAAAGTTCCACTAATTCATGGATGCTTTTGGTCATCTGTTGGTTTTGTGACCCATGTTATATTTGTCATTGAAGTTATTCCTGTTTAACCCTTTGGGCCCTAAGACTTTTTTGGAGTATTTTTACTGCCTTTATTTTTAAGCTCATATCACAGTCATTATAAAGGCTACATACACATGCTATATATTGTTTAGTTTTTTTCTCAGGACAATCTGGGCTATCCAGATTTGTCATCATTACATGTCCTTCTATCTGACTGTATTTTATATTAATTTTTATATCAATGAAAAAAAAAATCTTTGTTACTAAGTTCTTCCATTTTTACAAATATCTCACCATAGCAAGCTGGAAGTAGACACATTCTGCCATATATGAAGAGGGGAGACTCTCTGGAATCTGGCAATAAGAACCATGATGCTGGGACATTCTGTCACTTCACAGCTGTCCAAAACATGTGGTTTGGTGCACAAGTGGCTTCTCGCTATGACGAACGGTTGCAGAGAAAATCCATAGAGAAGAACAGGTGTGAATTTGGATGTACTTTGCGTCGTTCAGGCCCATAGGGTTAAGATGGACAATCGGTGTCCTTTTCCTGTTTTATGCTTGTTAATCCCCATTCAGGCAGAGAAACACAAGCTGTGATTAAGCCACTACAGGCACATTGCAATAGGGAGAATGAAAAGGTTGGCAGGATTGCAGTCTTGCTTTCATGGACACCTTGTCACTCATTGAGCGTTCAGTGCAGTATGACAGGTGATCCACCCTACATCTACATCAAACCAAACAATGGCACCCAATGTAAAATGCAGGGTACAGATTTGTGGCGGCTGCTAGTTTTCTCAGCCTTGCTGAATGTCACAGCACTATCTCTGTGACTTTGTGTGTCTCACCCTTCATTTGTGAAAGAATGGAGCCTACCTGAGTCATTGCGTAGGTAGGAGGACATGGCAGGGATGAGGCAGGACTGGCTCAACAGCTCCTGCAGCACTGCTGGCAGAGCTGAGCTGTTGTGGGCTCTGCTGTCTGCTGAAGAGGCATCAGCACTGTGGCAGCTGCTGGAGCCTGCTGGGTTGATGTAGCTTGCCAATACCTAGTGCACAAAACAATGTAGACATACTGTAGGGTGAATTAAGAATAGAACTTGTCCACCTTGTTTAAACTGACACATGCAAGTACAGATTTTACATGACCTGCTCTGGAGTAGGAGCAAACTGGGAAAATCTCTATCTTTGACTATGCTGTCTCATGATGGTACACTTGGATAAGAACCAACCACTAACTCCCTGTTTCCCCCTGTTGTAATCTTCATCTTAATTAAGACATTTTGGGTTCATTCAAGAGAATAATCTTTTCATTTGTAGGCGAGGAAGCCCTTGATCCTTTTAAAATGATTAAAGAAGTGCAATCAAAGGCACAGATGGCAGTTTGGAGGAACCTCAAACCTCCAACAATTCACAAATTTTCCTGTGCCCATATCAAGGGCTCTGTTCATTGTTTCTCACATTACAGCATGCCACAGGTGCACAAACTCTTTGGAAAGTAGTCGCCTGGAACATGCTCAAAGCCTGGGAGTAAGCACTGCCAATGAGACAGATTTCAGGGACACAAAGCCCCAGACAGCAGGATAGCTGCTGAGCAAGATAAACAGGGAAATCTAGACACAAAATATCAGCATGATATTCTTTGTAATTTAACACAATGTACGGATGTGTTAACTTAGAAGGTTCCTCATAAAGGTAAAGGGGTACAAATACTTTGTGGAGAAAGGCTGCACAACATATCATTTTAGATTGTATTCTGAATACAGGAGTGACGATGAGGCACAAGCACAGGTACTGTGCAAGTCTGGGTCAAAAACAAAGTCCAATTTAATATTTGTTTATTTATCACAAGTAGCAGCTATTCATTATCTTCATCGTTTCCTCATCGTGCAGCCCTATTCCGAAGCCACCATATCCTTAAAAGCCCACTTTAAAGATGATGTGATGGGTAAACATACCTGCAGTAGACAGGTGACGTGTTCCTCTTCTAGCCGTTGTTTGGTGAGGGCCTGCTCCACATCCCAGCCTGAGGCTGTGGATCCAGTACCAAAACCAGTTCCTTTAGCCCAGTACAGCTGCTGCTCCTCACTGGTCCCCCCACCATGACAACTGGATATCTGCGGCTGTCAACACAGACATGAGATAACGTACAGTGTAAAAAGCGGGGATTCGGTTTCGTGCTACTTAACCGTCTTCTGACCAGGAAAATCTGTTCCAACTTCAATGCACACCTGTTTCTATTTATTATATTTCTATTGTCACTCACTTTGAAAGCACTGCAAAGGATTATGAATGGCGGACTCATGAAGTTGAAATGAGTATTTATTATTTTACAACAAAGACTGGAATAAGGTGGCAGCTGACTGGCAGGAGATCGCCAGGGAGCTGAAAGTTTCTGGCAAATGACTACTGCTAAAAACAACTTACTTGCTGTTGGCTATATCGTATGTCATTTCCAGTAAATATCATAATATAAGCGTGTGTTTTCTGTTTAAAAAGCACTCACCCATGTCTTAAATGGTGACATCTCCAATCTGATCCCGAGCGCACAGCTGATAGGTGTGTGGCTTGTTTACATGATGTAACAGAAGTGCATATTTAATGGTTCAGTGTGGTTAGAGAGCCACTAATGTTAGTACAAGTTGTAAGGCTGAGAAAATTCTTTGTGTATACATACTACCCCAACAAACCTGGGCTAGGTTGGGTATTTATTTATTTTTAAATAGCTCTAATATGCATGTGAAGCTATTGATAGGGCTTATTTTATTTGGAATATATTATATAGGCAAAAGTAGCCCACTTTTTTAATGATTTCATTCTCTATACAGTCTGCCCATCAATTGTTTTTAAGCTCAATAAAGAAAGACATTATTTGACCGGAATTTCTCCCATTTGTCCGAGACACTGAAATCATCCAGGACAAATGGACCTGCACCGATGGAAACCCTGGTTAGAAGGATGAGTTAAGGTTTGAGTATTTCTGACCGCTTTATCTAATAATATTTTTTATATTTCCCTTCTATTATTTTAAGGTAAGTGATTGCCAGTGTATGAAAATGGTAGTTGTGTGATAACAAAAAGGTTGCATCTGAGTGATCAGTAAAATTCAGCACTGCACACTGGAAACCATTGGAGGTATATGGTATCTGTTCTTGAATAACAGTTTTTAGCGAATTGGGGCTAAAAACATCAACACTGTCCTTCAGAATATAGGCCAAAGCCTGCTCTGTCTTCAACGTGCTGAGAAATGAGCAAATGAAGCAGTCATGGGATTGTTTTGATGGTCCCATGGTGTTAAACCAGGATTGAAGTAGTGTGTATTCTATTAAAGCCAACATGGGTAAAAACCAGTGATGCTGTTGAAGTTACAAGTTGATGTTTTCTGTGACATGCATAGCTTCTATTTAAATCAGTGAGTGTCTATGTCTTTTTCTCACATCTGTGCTCCCATTGCAGCACATGGATTGGGGGAGAAGGGGAGGGGCTCAAGGACAGCGACAGTGACAAGTCCTTGGCTCATATTCAAGTCATTGTCCCCATGATCCATCCTCAGCTTTGATACCTCCATAAATCCACACACAGAAGGGGGACAGGGAGCGAGCATGAGACTATGTCACCACAACAGAACAAACAAGGCTGGTCTGTTTCAGGACCTACAGACCCTCTTAGCAACATTTAGCAGTATTTAGCAACCAAGCCAACAAAGCTCAGTTCCAGTTTTGTGTATAAATTCCGCAGCTCCACATCACAGTCGGCTACTAGTTTTCTGTCGCCATTCTACATATGAGGTTTTTTCCTCTTTTCTGTCTGTCCCGTCAGTCTAAACAGATCATCTGTGCTGCTGGATACAGCAAAAGTGATTGAAGTAATCATTACCTCAGACACACTGGTGCTGGCATTGGGGTTGCGGGGGGCGTGGTGGCTGAGAGCCGACAGACAGGCCAGGATGAGGTGGATGGCCCCAATCTCCAGAGCCATGCGGCGGAGAAGAACGCCATCATCAGTGGTAAGAGGGGTGCTGCTGAATAACGCTCGCAGGACATGGAACGGCAGCGTGGGTAACACGTTGGCTGATGGAGACTGCAGGATATGACCTAAGAGGATGCCAAAGAAGACAATTAAATCAGAGGACTAGGGGCATGTAGTCAAGTTTTGGGTTAAAGTGAATTTATTGGTTTACTGATATCAGTGTTAGTGCACCACTGTTGAAATGCAAGAACAAGAACAAGAGTTGATATTGTTGTTTAGATCTGTGTAAAGATTTTCATGACATTAATAGATTAACCAATTTATAGCAGTAGGTAAAATGTCTTGTGATAATGTTATTCTGCAATATAATTGTTTTGGTATTTGTTGGGACCCATGCCTTGTTACAACCAGTCATTAGGTGTGGGTGTCTGCTTTGTTGAGGAGACATTTCTTCATTGATTAACATCCAGTTTGCTTGTCATGTATGTATAATAAACATGTTACAAAATGTACTGTTTTAAAGCTGGGGTAGGCAGTTTGATTTTTGACCAGGCAAGAATCCCAAAATACTTTGAGTATATTGTTATTTAAGTGGAGTGAGAGAAACTAGACTTCTGTACATCCTTTTGGTTTTGTTTTCAGGCTTAACAAAGTCTAGCCAGTGACAGGAGACTTTGGCCAATCACAGGTCCTTTCAGAAAGGTCGTTCCTATTGGCCGTTCTACAAATGCTGATGTGCATGCACTTCCCTTAAAATGTTTAAGACTTGATTCAATGGCAGAGAATGCTGCAGAAATTGTTGCTATTCCAGCCCAAAAACAAAAACTGGGAGACTTACTGCCCTCTCCGTCATCTGTGACACCCAGCACCAGGCGCAGCAGACACTGGGCATGCTTCCTCTCTTTCAGTAGCACCTCTGCATACCCTGGCAGGCGCAGGAACAGGCCGAAAGCAGCCAGTGAGTGAGCAGGGATGGGTGACATCGTTTGCACTGAGGATGATGATGACGAGGACGACTGAGACTGCTGCTTGTTGATAGGGGGTGGCTCGGTGGCAATAGACTCTGGCGCCTCATACACCAGCTCCCCGGACTGCTCGATGGTTACCCACTCGAACTGGTCACTGTCCTTGGGCTTCTCCTGTGTGGCGGAGGGCACCACTGGGGCACTGACCTGTGAACGACCATCCGGGAGAACAGAGGGTAACTTTAGCAAAGGTGAGACAGAATATGAGACAGTGCTGACAGGTGAATTTAGGAAAGCAGGAACTGCAGTGTCATGATGTGGACAATTCAAGCCCGAGGGATGAGAGGCTGACTTCTCCACATACTGTAACTGTAAAAACAAAACTTCGGCAAACAAAGGCAGACACTGAACATCATTTCATATTACGGATCTGTAACCACAAGTTTCATCCTCATGTAATCAAGGAGTAAGCCTTTTGCCAGTATTTTTTGCCATTTTAGCATATGATCAAGGTGAGGCATCAAAGTTCATTCTTGATCTTGGAATAAGTAGTTTGAAAACACAGTCCCAGCTCAAGGTCCATTTATTAGCTCTTCTGGAGCTTTTAAGCTGGATGGATACAGTCCACTCAGTTGTCCAGAAAGTAAATCTGTTGACATGCCAGCCTGGTAGCTGTTACAATTTCCTTCATAGCACTTTTATGATTCATCATCATAGAATATATGAAATTATGGATGTGATATCAATTGGTTTGAGGACTCCCATTTTACAGCCTTAAGTCTGGCATTTTGACCGTCGCCATTTTGGACTTTTGGAGCCAGAAGTGGCCTTATTTGGATGAGAGGGTGGAACTAGCCCTAACGCTGGCTGCTAGCTTGGTTAGCACAGTGCATTTTCATCTGAGGTTAATTATGATAATACCAATGCAAAATGTTGCCAGCAAAAAACAGGCTTCAAACCATTAATCACAATGCACTAACCATAAAAACTTGACATCCAACTCCTTCGAGGGTCTTTTACGACCAAACACTGAACAAGTCTTATTTTAGGCGACCAAAATGTTACAATTAACTTCCATCAACTAAAAAACACATTGGATTAGCAACTACAGCTATGCTTATATTGAATCCATGGTTGCTACCATGTTGTGTGGCCTTGGTAGTTACTAAAACTTGTTGTCTGTTTGGGAACATGCTTTGGGTGAAGACTTTAGCCCTACTTCACCCCTGTGCTTTAACAGTACTTTCATCGCCCATGCATATGCCTGTGGCCAGCTTTAAGTCTCACCTGCTGAATGACATCAGGGTAGAGCATGGGCAGCCTCTCTGCAATGAGGGCGAGGCCGCCCATGCCTGCGAAGACCTGCAGCGGTGACTGGATGGGGTTGGTCTCCAGCAGGGACTCGTCAGTAGCGGCATCCAGACATTCCTCACTGGGTGTCATTGGTTCGTCCTCAGGACAGCTGTTCAGCATGTCACAGTGATCCACTGCAAGGAGAGCAAAAAGAGGACCTGTTGTATGTTCATGCACTGTCTGGCATCTCGGACACTTGTTAGCACTGTATTTGTCTGAAACCTGAAGTTCCATCACTGACATGAGAATTCAATTACTCTTTCAATGTTTGGTTCAATGTGGAATTATTTTGTAGTATATGCAATATATTCTGTCTTGGGATGTTGCAAAGGTGGAATCAAGAGAGAAGGTGTATCACTGGCTCTGCATTACTGAACAAAACTTTAATGTTCATACTATAAAAATGCTGTGGTTATTTAAACACTTTGAGCCAGAGGCTGTTTTTGTTAAGTGTGCATTTTTGTTTTTACATGTTAATAGCATGATCATTACATGTTTCAGCTTGACATGCCATTTTCTTAGTTATAGCTTTATGACTATGCTTTAGTCGACAGAAATCAAACAGCCAAGCACCCTTTTCCATTTTATGCTTTTGCGAAAAGCATGTCCATGGTAACCTGTGATACCCTGTGTTTTTAATGCTCAGGAGTATATTTCTGTCATGTTTAGTGAAGCGTAATCTTCAAAGACAGCTGTTAAAAACACGCAATAACCAATGAGTAAAAATTATATGCAACAAAGCTACATTTAATTCATAAATACAGCACACTATGTTTTGCACAGCTGACTACAGAGTAACCCAGGAATGAGTCCCAAAACCAGGAAATGAGTTCGCATTTCCTGGTTCCTTCGTCTTAAAGTCAGTTTTTTTTTTAATGGGTTTTTAGTTTGATGCCTGAAATATCAGTAAATACCCCACTTGTGAATTCTGAAGCATTTTGTGTCTTTGAGGAAGGCAGTTGCTAATAAGTTGCTAAATGAGACTTCAGAGCGCACAAAGCTTTATAGCCGCGTTAAGGGAGGGATGTTAAATCATGCGACCACAGCGTAGTTCATTTATAACCAAATGTTAGCTGTGTACATTTGCACTTAGGCTTCAAAAATCATAAAATGAGTTTTCATTTGTGTAGATTATCTTGGTGAACAAAACGCGCTAACTATCATAAATGATTGTTTGCCACAGAGCTTATTTTCTGCAATAAACCAAAATCCAATGGAAAAATCCTATAGGCTTTTTAAAGGGGGAACCAGGCCGTCACTAATTTCCATGTTGGCCTACAAAAAATTTCATCCCCGCAGCACTCTATTACTGTCACACAACGTGCTTACACTAAGGACAGGTGATGTGAATGAATGGTGTGAACTTGCAAAATGAAAGGAAAGAGAAAAAGTGAGGGACAAAAAGCAGAGGCAGGCCAGAGAAAACAACTTAAAGTATCCAAAGTTTGGGATCATTTCAAAATGAAACAAAACAAAAATCATATTTAGTGTGTCTACTGTAAAACAGAACTAGCCTACCACAATAGCACAGTGTCACTGCTTCAGCATCTCAACAGAAAGCATCCAGCCAGACACAAGGTAACACTGACGGTGGCATTTAATATAAATCAATATGATTGCTGGTTATGGCCCCCCCAGCACTGAGATTTGTACCGGCTGAACATGAGTTGCTATAGCTGCTAACCAAAGGCCTGTCTCCAGAGCTGGTGTCCGCCCTCCTCCAACTGAGGTAATCTCCAAGCAGAGGGGAGTGAGGTAGCATGCTATTATTTTGACGGTCACACACACAAACACATGAACACACACATGCAAACACGAGTGACCTGCCTTATTTTCTCTTTGTATATTTACTCTTTAATAAAGTACATTTATCTGATTACGCAATGGAATATTCTTTAAAATACTTCATTATCAAAATAACCCATAGCTGCAGTCCTGGCTCTGATTCTTTAAGGCAACTCCACAGAGACTTGAGTCTTCAGCAGTGGGGTCTAGCAATAGTACTATCTGTCTACTTCTCTTCCATATCCCAAACCACCAAGCAGAGAGCAGAAGGACGAGAAGAAAACAACAGATTCTAATCACCACAGACCAGCTCCATCACGGACTCTTCATTCATCAACAGCATGGGCAGAAACTGAAGGCAGCACAGGGGAGTTCAGACAACCTCTTCTGAGATCACACTGTTTAAACCCTTAAGTTATTTACCTGTAATTTTTTTATATATATATATAGTAGGGGTGGGGGAAAAATTGATACAGCATAGTATTGCTCTATTTTTGTGTGGCAATATCATATCGTCACAAAGTGTCAAGTATTGATTTTTTCATTATATAAATTATTAATGTATGGTATCTTACTTGAATTAAAAAAAAAAAAAAAAAAAAAAA